AAGAGTTAGCTCAAAACTCAATCAATGAAGCTTCTATTTGGTTTGAATCTAATGGCTTCCTCTTAAACAAAGATAAAACTCAAAAAATTATTTTTAGCCTTAGACCCTGTGAATTATTTCTTGGTATTTATAAGAAGCTTTCTTGGAGAGATCATATAGATTACATAAGTTCTAAGCTGTCAAGGGTGATTTGTCTTATAACTAAACTAATACATTGTAGAGATCAAAATTATATTAAAACAGCCTACTTTGCTTATTTCCAATCCATTTTCAGATACAATATTATCTTTTACGGAAATTGCAGTAGGATAGAGGACATTTTAGTCTTACAAAAGAAGTTAGTTAGAATCATATCTTGTGAACCCCTACAGGATCACTGCAAACCCCTGTTCATTCAGCTACAAATTCCAACAGTAATTAACATTTATATATTTGACTCTGTATCATATATTTAAAAAAATCCTGACCTTATCAAACAAAATTCTCATGTTCATAATACAAGGAATAAAAACGTTGCTAACATAGATTTTTTTAGACTGTCTAAAACTCTTAAAAGTCATATTGTAATCTCACTAAAAATATACAACAAGCTAATACATTTAATAACAAAATATCCTAAACAAACTTTTAAATCTAAATTCTACAAATGGCTTTTGAACAACCCTTTTTATTCTCTAAAAGATTTTTTTGGAATGCCTTTTATTAACTTTTAAGTAGAGCAAGCAAGTTTACCAAATTACTGTTGGATTTAGTTGGTTATGGGGTTTAATAACTTCCATTATTCCAAACGCCTTAAATTTTTCTTAACAATAAGATTATTTGGTTGTAATATTAAAGTATGTATTGTAACATGTCTCCTTGTGTGTAGTATTCTTGTAAATATTGTATATTGTATTAATTAACTGACTATGCTAGTTTTAGCAGTTTTTGGACAATGTCAATAATTTGTATAAACTCACAAGACAATAAACACATTTCATTTCATTTCATTTCATTAGCCTATTTGTTGTGCCTCGACTGAAATGTAACATTACTTTTAGAAACTTGAGACACTATTTTTAGCCTTTTTTGTTAACTTCATTGACTATGTTTACCAACAACGAATATCGCGGGTGTGACTTTATCACTTTAATCATATTTATTAGTTGTATATTTGTACATATTCAGTTTGTAAACAGTTTTATGTGGATGAACTTACTTAATTTGATGTCTGGGACATTACATTTAGTAGGTTTATGAAACATTTCGTCATAATGAACAAATGATTTGATCGCCAAATGAAAAAGGCACAGCAGCATTTTTTAGAAAAAAACTATAATTTATTTATGTATATTTGCCTTTATAACTATGTATATTCATTTAGGGGAATACGTTTCCTTTCATTTTATATAGTTGGTATGTGGGGTTTATATGTTTTAAAAATAATATACATGCGTGAATAACAAATTTTTTTTCTAGACAAATATAAACATTTATTAAAGGTCATAAACATTTATTGAAATGATAATTTTACATGTACAACTCTTACTTCATTTGATCTCTAATATTATTGCCTACAAATTTTACTTTTACTTTATCTCTTGATAATACATTTATTTGGTTTTTGTTTTAAATTTGTAGTGCAAAATCGTGAAACTTGTCATTTTATTGTTTTTTGGCCATTACTTTGTATGAAGGGTAATTGGAATCTTTTTACATTTCCTTATAGAGAAATTAATTCCAAACAATTTTTATATCTTGAAGTTTACATGAAACATTTTTGGTTCATACAGCAATTTTTTTATCTACTGTAAATATTTTCTACAATATTTTAAATATTCATTTTGTTGCCATTTTCAAATTCTTCATTTCATTACGAACACTTCAAAGTATATATACGTTCAATAGGTTTGGTCTGTTGGTTTAGTTTATATGAATTTTCGAAAATATGACTGCAAAATCGCCAAAAATGCCTTGCCACTACAGAGTTTGCCCATTGCAAGTTGGAGGGCTAATGAAACCACGCTTTAAAAATCACATTATAAAACTACATGATTATAAACACAATAATTATCAAAATGTACGTAGATGCCGGGCGACATCATCGAAGTATAGTTATTTATATATACTTCGATGGGCAACATATGCTATGCACTGCCCTGCTAGGCTACCGTCGCCGCTCGCACCGATGTACCAGCGCAACGTCACTGAGGAGGGGCGGGGGAGGGGAAGTAGGATCAGGCGGCGACCGCTAACATCAAAGGAGTGAGCCAGCCCTTGTATATCTCTAGCCCTGACGGCCACAGGGGTTAATCAGATTTTTTGCTGCAATCACGGAAGACAACGATATTGTCTACATGACCAAGGTCGATATCCCTGATTTTGCCAAGATCTCACGAGACGACGATGACGTTTCCGTGACCGCGGGGATTGGATGATGATGTATACACGGCGGCGGGAGTTGATCAGATTGTTGCTGCAATCTCGGAAGACAATGATAATGTCTACATGACTGCGGAAGATGTTCATGATTTTTCCTCGATCGCGCAAGATGACGATGACGTTTCCGTGACAGCGGGAGTGAATGATGATGTTTACACGGCCACGGGATTTAAACAGATTTTTACCGTGCTTTCAGTAGACAACGATAATGTCTACATACCCACGGGAGATGTTCATGATTTTGACACTATAGCGCAAGACGATAATGACGTTTCTGTGACCGCGGGAATGGATAATGATGTTTACGCGGCCACGGGAGTTGATCAGATTTTTGCTGCGATCGCCCAAGACGACGTTGACGTTTCCGTGACCGCGGAAGTGAAAGATGATAACGGTAATGTATAAATGCCCGCGGGAAGTGTTCATGATTTTGCCGCGATCGCGCAAGACGACGATGACGTTTCTGTCACCGCCGGAATGGATAAAATGTTTACACGGCCACCGGAGTTGATCAGATTTTTGCTGCAATCGTGGAAGACAACGATAATGTCTAAATAACCGCAGTAAATGTTCCTGATTTTGCAGCAATCGCGCGAGACGACGATGACGTTTCCATGACCACAGGAATGAATGATAATGTTTACACGGTTGCGGGAGTTGATCATATTTTTGCTGTGATCGCCAAAGACAACGATAATGTCTACATGACCGCGGGAGATTTTCATGATTTTGCCACAATCGCGGAAGACCTCACCTGTCAAAAGTGCCGGATTAGAGAGGATTACTGGAGTTGATTTTTGTCCGAGAGCAGACACACATAAATCAATTTTTGTCCAACACCGTATTGACAGTAATCAGGATATGAATGACATTAACACGGGTCTGCAAGTCCTACATTACTGTCAAAATGGAAATAAAATGGACGTCTTGGAGCAATTTTAAATGTATAAATCAATAAAAATCTGGATTTCAACAACCATATCCTGAATGACAAACTCTAGTTTAACTTGAATATAATTTTTAACACTATACTACAACAAGGAAACATATCTGATCAGCTGACCACAACAGATAATGAAGATAATTCATTCAGATAGCGCTGACTTGAACCCTCCACCAACAGTCTGTTCCCGCTCGTGTACCGGCAATGTTGCATACACGTGATAGGCCTATCAAACTAAAGGTAATTATTTATATATTGTGCGTGTCGTGTGTAAATGTTATTTGATGTACCTACCTATATTATATGTGTAATGAGAACGAAGCTATATAAGTGGAATTAATATATATTCATGTAATGAAGTGTTTGACTATGACAGCTCGCCGAAACATGTTACACGTTGACGAAGGTTTTTTGGATCTGATTAAAGGTAACGGGGCTACAACAATGAATTTTAATAGACGTATTGGCGGTGCAACGATGGCAGTACAATAGCGTTGAGTAGAAACCGAAAGTGAACATTGGAAAATTGAGTTTAGGAGCATCTGTAAACCTCTGTTAGGATCACAACAAAATCATAACGATCTTCCGAGATGGCTGCAACATCAGCGATCAAACTTCTGTTGTGATTTTTTACTTCACACAACAGTCATCGAAGCGCTGTGAATGAGTGGAAACCATGTTTTTTAAGCTATTGGCGACAATAATTTTAAAAATTTAAGTTTCTCAGGCATATACAAAACTGATTCAGAGTCTTTTTTCTGGTTATCAAAACTTAAGTACAATTTACACACACACAGAATCTCCGGTTAACGACCTGAATAATGCTTAGAAATTTAATTTTATTTACAGTTACACATTATTGCACTTGCGATTAATTAAATCCGTTATATAAGGCACAACGTTTTTAATCTCACTTGGTTTTGTATTTTTTCTTACAAAACGTGATCGGAAATGGTTGCAGTATTTGTAAACAACATTTCAATAGTCAATTAAGTAAGTTCAATTAATGTAAACATATCAGTGACAGTTAGAAAAAATAATCAAACAACTGTTCTTTATTTCATCGATGTCGTATTTTCCAAACAGATGGTTAGTATTTCATAAATGACGCATGTGGTAAACATTAAGAGAAAACTTGAAAAAATCACACAAAATTGGATTTTTGAACACCTGTTATTTTATTACAAAAGTAGTGAGGCCATATTTTAATGGCTAAAGACACCCTCGCCAATCCAGTGACAACAAAAAGACTATTAGTATTTGAATCCCGATCAATTCTCTTGATTTTCAGGAGAAGGCCGAGTAAAATGCCTTTTGGGCCATGACAAACAGACAGACAGAAATTGAGATAAGACTTGTTTCGGCTTCTTTAATGTATAAAACGTAAAATTACCAAAAAATATAATTCTGAGCAATATACGGACAAAAACTCTAATTTTATTTATATATGTAGATATAACAATCAGAGAGTATAAATAAAGAAACCTGACCAACCTTTATTATAGCATGCATGTTCATATAAAAAATTCATAGTTAAAAAAAATATAATAGCATTGTGAAACGTATAACTCTCAACTAATAAGAATGAACTAGTTCCTTAAGCAATACAGAAGGTCAAACACTATGTTCACAGTACCTCCGTTTAGAGCACCACACTCGACTGCCCTCCTCGGGAGTCCACTCTACGTTGCAAGGCGGATACATCAGCTTGTATTTATTCTTATCTTTCTCATCCCGATCTGCTTCTTCTAGTTTCAGCTGTAGTTTGTGAAGATAGCCTGTCGGATTCCCAGTTTTGTCATAATACCTTCCAACAAGCTTTCCTGAAATAAAATATGAGTATATATGAAAGCAGGATAGGTCAATCTATACTTATTTAATACGCAAGCAGGATTTTTGTGACAATTACTCCTCCGAAACTACTGAACTGATTGACATGTTTTTGGTGTCATTGGAAAGAGTGTAACGTGAAGTTGTGCAGGAAACTTTCTTTTAGCGAATTTCCCATATAGGGAATAAGCTATTACCGTAGTACTCATGGTAAGACCTGGACCCGAGACCGATTTAATTTTTCATTTTGAGGTCCCTAGAGGCCAAAAACACCATCCGTTCAAATTCATATATATATATATATATGTGTCCGTTAGCGCGATAACTCGAGCAAATACCCCCGCCGCAGCAAACCTGCCGTCTAAGCGAATTTCCATTTGTCCGAATTGATTTTCAATTGATCTATTTAAATAACATTATTAGGTTTAACGAGTACCTAGGTTTGCTGCTACAAGGAAACTAATAAAGTAGTGTGTTTTTAGTAAAATATTGATAGCTTACTATAAAATAAATAAATTTGCCAACTTTGATCAAAATATATCCATAAACAAGCAAACTACAACATTTTACAATATTCTCCATAAGAATAACATGGGAATTTTAAATTTACCATTTTTTTAGTTTTCTCCGTAACCAATAACCGTACAAAAACACTTTGATATACTGAATTGTTTGTTTTTTTAAGCTCTTTAAGAAGGTTTAGAGAAAAATTGGGAAATTTTGTGTTTTGAGGGTAAAAAGTGAGAAAAACCCATTTTTACCCCATAAAACCCCCCATAAAACCCTGTTCCCATGGTCCGATCATGCTGGATCGCGAACTCATTCAAGTTTATCCCGCCTTACACCTTCAAACCAAATGTCATCAAAATCGGATAAAAATTACTCAAGTTATCGTGTTCACGGACACATATATATATATATAAATCTATATATATACCTATATATATATATATATATATATACATATATAAAAATTTGAACGAATGGTGTTTTTGGCCTCTGGGGACATTAAAATGAAAAAGTAAATCGGTCCCGGGCCTAAGTCTTACCATGAGACCTACGGTAATAGCTACTTCCCTATAGGGAAATTCGCTAAAATGATCTGATTATGATGAAATTTGGTACAAACGTGTAAACCTACATTTATTCGAACGAGTTCGCGATCCAGCATAATCGGACCATGGGAACGGGGGTTTATGGGGGGTTTTATGGGGTAAAAATGGGGTTTTCCCATTTTTGAACCTAAAAACAAAAAATTTTGCGATTTCTTTCTAAACCGTTTTGTAGAGCTTAAAAAAAGAAATAATTTAGTATATTGAAGCCCTGTTGTATGCCTAACGGTCACGGAGAAAATTCAAAAATAGTGTAATTAAAAATTCCCATGTTATTCTTATGGAGAAAATGAAAATGTTGTAGTTTACTTGTTTATGGGTATATATTTATAAAATTTGGCAAATTTATTTATTTCATCCTATACTATTGACGTATGGTCAAAAAACACTTTTTACCTTCCCCGTAGCAGCAAACTTAAGCACTCGTTAAATCTAATGTTATTTAAATAGGGAATAATAAGTCTTATTTATGGAAATATTTTAGTAAAAATGTAATCAGACGAGTTGAAATTCGCTTAGTCTGCAGGTTTGCTGCGGCGGGGGTATTTAGAGAAATTATTAGAGAGTGAGGCTCTGGGGCCCTTTAAAGTTTCGTATTTCTCCATAAGATTAACTTGGGAAACAAACATTGTTTTGAAACTCCAGCTGTTGTCAGAAATTAAATATTAATAATTGGTTTCCATGGAAGCATTAGAAAATTCACAATGTTTACATTTGCTTTGACATTTAAATGTTTAACCAGAACTGTCAAATGCCTATTTCACAATTTCGGACAGCTGATCCAAAAAAATTTTCCCGTTGCGAAGAAAAAATTAATAGTGAGAAGAAGAACATATGTTAATTGTAAACAGTCAATGTGTAAATTATCTATGTTGCATTAAAAATGTGTATAGTTTTGGATGTTGGTTTATGTTTGATGATATAAGTTATTAAATTCTTATTTTAAGGATTTGGCATATGAGTAAGCCTATGATAAATAACCACCATTTCAGAGTTCTGCCAGTTTTTGTCTAACTCTGTCCTGTAGAGTTTAAAGTAGCCTACACCTTATTGTCTACAAATTGGCTAAATAACTTAGGTACGGTACTTTATAAAAGCTGACAGCCTTTTTACGTTGACTTAAATTGTAAGCTTACCTTTTCCCGTCCATGGACAGTTTGGTTGTTAAAAATTAACCCTTTAAAACGGAATAGGACTGTTATGTAAATTGTGAGTATTTCCATTGGTTAATAATGTTGTAGTTGACTCTTTTAAAATCACCGAAAATTATGACGGTTATTAGTTTTTAAACAAGTTATTTGTTTATAAATAACTCCTGTACTTCTTTGCAATTGCTCGATTTCGAGCAACATGTACACTAGTAATTTTTAAAGGAACAAAAATATGTTGATATGTACTTTAAATTAAAGGTCTTGTTAAACTAAAAACAATGCTGCAACCCGGACTTCAAATGGACAACCGAAATGGCAGCTTCCCTGTGGCTTAGTGACAATTACCTAACTTGTCAAATTCTTGTACTAATTCATTATTCATTAGGCCCTAATACTATTAGTTTATACAAAAAATTACATAAAAGTTATTTGGCTTGGTCATTTCATAGCTGAAATCTCTCAATAAACTTATAAGTTAAAAAGAGTTGAAACTGCCATTTTGAATCTTTAATCGGCTGCAATTTTGCACTTAGTAGTTCTTTTTAGCTCCACTTTTTTTTAGAAAAAAAAACTCTCTTAAGAATTTTATTCCAGAACTACAATGTTAAGGCAAACCAGTACACCACTGGTGATTTTGGTGATTTTGATGGTGTTTTTGACCTCTGGGGACATCAAAACAAAAAAGTAAATTGGTCCCGGGTCCAGGTTTTACCATGAGACCTACGGTAATTGCTTATTCCCTATATGAGAAATTCACTAAAAGAAGTACTAGCATAGAATAAATAAACACCAGAGAAGAGCAGCGGCGGCTTAAACTTCATGCGATATTTATTCGGGCTGCCCGAGTTAGTTGGGGCGGATCGAGTTCAGAGCACGCTAGCGTAGTCGTCATGTCGGTAATGCAGTTCTGTAATACACAGTATGTTGTTGATGTCCACACCTGTGGTTTAATCCTTCTAGGTCTACACCAACACTTAGCAGCTCGTTGACCTTAAGTGTGTGCTAATGTTATGGAATAATAATCTTACTTAATATTATAAATGTGAAAGTTTGTGTGTTTGTTTGTTTGAAGTTCAATCACGCTTTAACTACTGGCTGGATTGGGCTGAAATTTGGTATGATGATAGCTCACATTCCCGATTAACATATAGACATATTCGTATCTCAAAAATCCTTTTGGGCTCCGCCCCAGTGGCTCTGGAGTTTCCCATGTTAACCTTATGAGTATTCATATTTAAAAGGGATTTTTGTCAGCTGTTTCAATTACACAAGTTGTTCCATGATATGTTTTATCTATGATGATATTCAATATTATTAAAAGTTATAAGGTTCCCCAACAGGGTGCAGCACTTATACATTTTTTTCATTTATAACGATAGCTAATTTGAAGCTGTGGAACACAATGAGAACTGTTAAAGTAGGATTGTTTACAGTTAAGCTTATGTTTTTAATTTATAAATGATGTTTTAATATTGTGCGAATATTCGATAATTAACTTTTTTATTGTTTAGGTGTAGTGGTAGAACATTATGGCTATGGTATATGTGCTATAGTATAGCCACAAACAACATTAAAAGTATTATATTGTCTGTGCTATAGCTTCCGTAAATTAAAAGAACCATATTTTCTCAAGCCGTGTCCTCTTCCATTGCAAACACAAAGCATGAGTATAACTGCAATACCCATTTTATACTTATATGCCAACCCCCGTACGAAGAACGGGTATTCAGCTAGTACAGTACATATATGTAATTTGTAAGGGTAAAAACATAGTGGAGCGGCGAGGCTAGACGGTAGCGGAGAGCGTAGCCGAGCGGGTTTTGACCCCCAATGGTAGTGGCGCTTCACATGCACATAGTGGAGCGGAGAGCTTAGCGTGGCGAGCCATGAGGCTTGACTCTTCAGTCTGCAAAATGTCGTCAGACAGTGATGACGATTATTTGTTATTTGACAGCAGTGCGCTCAAAATGATTACTGTTTTGGGCGGTATAAGAAGTTGCGCGGTTCATCCAGTAAATAGGGAGCGTAAAGAGTTTGGAGAGTACCACCACCTGTTTCCACAATTGAAGCAATATCCGGATCGCTTTTTCCAATACACTAGGATGGATTAAAGCACTTTTGAATATATATTGAACCTGATCTTTCCTCATATATCGGTGAAATATAACAATTTTGTAAAGCAGCCGATTGAATGTGAAGAGAAGCTACTTATTACACTGAGGTATGTTTTATTATAGTATACTTGTAAAAAATCAAAAGCCAAAGTGCACAGTGGTATATTTGGTATTTGCATAAACATGTATGGTCGTTTCATACGTAACAATAGACCACTTAATTAAGGCAGTAATTAAAATACAATATAATACAAATCAAAACAAGTTAATTTATTGAGTGAATTTAAAATGTCATATTGCCACTCCAAACTTCCTGAACACCAGACTCGGCACCTGAGATTTCATCAAGGTTTGTTAAAGTGAATGGGCTTTCACTGAGTGGGGTTTGCGTACGGGACTCGTGAAACGAATCTTGAACAGAAGCAGGAGTAGAATGTGATGATGAATTTACCTCCTTATTGAAATATGCATATTTCATTACCAAATTTTGTACATAATTTCAAAACATTAATTTGTTTATTCCAGTGATTAACTTGAGATGGGGCTTGAGACTTTCAAAAAACATAAAATCTTCGTCTTCAGTATTCTTATTTAGTTCCTTTTCTTTTTTAGTTTT